TAAAACTGTATTATCTACATAAAACACTACTTCTCCCCCAAAAAAACAAAGAAATGGAACTGTAAAATGAACAAAGCCACCATAGCGCGAGTCCACCAATTTCAGTAATTAATGGAGTGAATTAGATTCAGAATGGTATTTAAGGTTAAAAAGCACCTCATTTTTGGAAAAATACAATTAAGTACATGGATACTCTCCAAGGCTATCTTTTATCTTTTTTTTTTTACTGTTATTTACTTTATTTATGAAATTTTAATATGGCACAATAGGTTCTATCTTGGAAAGCAAACTCAGAAAACCTTTAAAGTGTTTTTTTTTATTAAATTTTCTGTTTAACTCCATGGCAAAGTGTTCACCAACTTTACCTAGAAGAGACTATGAGGAGGGACCACAGTTTAGCAAATTTACTTCAACTAGATATAGAACCATCAAAATAAAAACCCACATATGCAAACCATCTTTCCAACTTGGCTTATGAATGGGTCATTAATTTTTTTCATGCTGTATTTTTATGCTGTATCCATTTCCTAGGAATACCTTCATCTGAATTTTTATACTGTATCCATTTCACTGTAGCTACAGTATTTCATTTTTTGGATAGTATAGCTTCTGTCCTTCTTGCCTATCTCGATCTAAAAGCACTGTGGTATTTAATGTACTATAAATACAACTACACAAATCATCAGAATGGACCACCATGAATTAGACAATTGCTTAAGCCCAGTTCCTGAAAACATTGACAAAAGTGGGAAATAAGACTTGGAATTAAGTAGGCACACAGAAACACACCACTACAGAGGGTTTTGTTTTTTGTTATTTTAACAAAAATACCATCCCCTCACCCCAACAAATCCCACTTTAAAATATTACAATTTGCAGGGTCAGGGTCACTATTAGAGTGAAAAAAAAGTTATCTGCACACTCACAAGAACAGCTTTGTTATCAATTATACATATTTCTACCTGTAGCATGCATGAGGCTTTTTATAATCAAATATACAAAATCAAACTAGCTTACATATTTGTTGACTAGCCTGCCAAGTGCTTTCTGTAATAATTAGTATAGTTTGGACTTTCACACCTACTTGGCTCAGTAAACCTTGAGGACAAAGTGATCAAATTCCAAGATTCACTAGATCTTTTTCTGATTAGCAACATGCCGCTTTTTATTATCAGATTCTTTGAACGTGGTACAACTATATCTCAATTATATCTCATCACAGTATCAAGTTGACCATGGGCTCTCTAAATCTAAACCATAAACTCACCAAGCTGAAAAAGTTTCTAGTATAGGTCCAGCAATGTATGTTAACCAAGGACTAAAATAGCTAAGTTCAGAGAGCTGACCATCAAAGGATAAATTTTTTTTGGTCCCAGCAACTTATGAAACTGGTTACTAAGATGTGGAGAGATCTCAGTTGCTAGGAGTACCTATTCATACCAATGAAATTAAAGATCCTTGACATATGAAAGAAAGGATCCTTTGCTAAACTTTTACATATAGTTTCCATTCTTTTTAATAACATATAATTAATAAAACTATGTTTCTTAGGGAAAAAAATCACAGAGTCCTTATTTTGTTGTTTTTTTATTTTTTAATGACTGCTCTACCTTCAATGGCAAAACTCTGTTTTCCTTTCAAAGACAGAGAGAAAAATAAACAAAGGGAAACTCTGTCTACTCACTGCTGTAAAGTACAAAATTTTTATATCAAAATTTTTAACCAAATCTCAACAAGCTCAGTTGTTTGGAATTGTTTCTAATGGAAGTGTACTAAATCTGTATAATTCTACAGACTGGAAAAAATTTTAAGTGAAGTGAAGCAATATTGTCGAATTGTCCCTAATCCTTGACTAAAACACTTTAGGACAAGGCCAACGTACTCAAAGAACTAAGTCCCATACCCATCTTTTTCTGCCAGCCACTGAATTTTGTTACTACACTAGCGTCTTAACCCAACCTGCTATTACACTGTAACTTTAAAAACAAAAATTTTATAAAAATTAGTTTTTAACTATTTTAAACCCTTCAGGATATATTAAGATTGGTCCATACATTTCCTACACTCTAACTTTAAATTACTTTTCATCTCAACTACATGCAAGATAAACTGTAAAGGTCCAAAGAAGAGGAAAAGATGTCTTAATATTCTTGTACTTCAAAACTTTAGTAAAAGTAAAAGAAATTAGAATATTGGTTGATATGGCATTTTGTTAAATCTTCATAAAATTAAATTTTGTTGAAGATTAGTTATGAATAATGAAATTCACACCTCAAAAGAATGAAAATAATCCAGAGAAATGTTATTGCACAAATGAGCTTAGCAAAGGAAAAAGAAAAAGGCGTGAGCAAGCTAATGTCTGATTAGGTAATACTGAACTAGGAAATTTTAGCAGCTTTAATGGAAAATTTTAATGTTATGAGAAGTAGAACTTTGGCACTAGGGCAACACAGCATAGTTTTTCTTTGTCTAACTCCTGGTAGGAAATTAGGCACTTAACTGTAAAAATAGAAAAATAGGGTTCATTTAGAAAGAAATCTAAAATGATTCAGAAAAAAACAATTAGCACTATCCAAAGACTGAAAATGCTTCAATTATTGTTTAACGAAAGACCAATAAGACATGATATCACAAGAGAGGGAAAAACCCCTACATAATAAGCCCATTTGACAACCACAAACATATCACTACTGTGTTCACTCTAGGATTAGACAGCCAAAGAAAGCAGACAGAAATTTTCCTTGGCAAAACATTCTGGATCCAAAGAATTCTTAACCTGAGTGCTACTTATTCATGAACATAGAAAAAGTAATTCCAGCATAAATATTATTAATGTTAACTGTATTCTGGAAGGTTTCAGTGTTTATTGTACATAACTTTAAAGAATGGATTCCCAGTGAGTTACAGGGAATGACAAATAGGTCTTTTAACTCCTAAATTAAGTCTCAGATTATTTGAATGATGTCAGAGCTCTAAATGGTTGTAATCCTAGGAATCTAATTAGGAATTATAATCTCTAGTACAGTTTAGTACTCTCTTCCTCCTGAAATTACTTTTTATATACTTTGTATCAATTCATTTGTATACATAAAATCTCCCAACAGAATTTAAACTTGAGAGCGAGAGTGGGAATTGTCTCATTTTGGGTTCTGTACTACTAGAGCCTTATATACATTAGCAGATGCTTAAAAAAATGGTTGTTAAATGGAATTGAATAACAACTCTAACATTCTATAGATACCATGATTCTATGTGCTTGTGGTTAAAAGATATTAGAACATTTTTTGATGACTTTCCAAGAGTTAAAACATTTCCCCAAAGTTAGATTATGCATGTTTTGATTTATAGATCTACTTTTAATGACTTCAAAATAAAATATTTCCCTTGTACATTTGGGGAACTTTTTAACCAAATAAAGGGCAAAAGAGATGGTTCCTCACCACCACCACTGCCACCACTAATTTCTCTCCAAAATGTGGGATTTTTCAAAAGCTATAAGTAGGAAATATTTCCCCCAAAACAAAGATGGTGGGGAGGGTAGCTCAAGTTCTTGAATCCATATATACCTTCAAGTCTATACATGCCTTACTTAAGAGCAGAATTTAAGAGGTGAGGGTATATCGGCCATCTATTGACACCCATAACCAAATCTAAATACTAATTCCTCCTCCACCCCTCAAAAAAAGGGGAGAATATTTTCTATTTAAATAGAGGTGAAGCAGTATGGTATAATGGTAAAAAAGGAAATATCTAGAGACAGAATACCTAAGTCTGGGTCCCAGCTCTCATATTTACTAGCTGTATGACTCTGGGTAAATCATTTAAAGATACAAAACTCACAAAAAAGTTTATCTGTAAAGTGAATATAATTTGAAAGACGTCAGAATTCTGATAAATGCAGGGATCAATCATGACTTCAGAGGACGAAGTGTGAAGCATGCTTCAAGCTTCTCAGAGAAGAGCAAGCAATGGGTACAAAACAAAGCACGTTCTCAGATATGGCTAATGTGTTGATTTGGCTGTATTTATTTGTTACAGGAGAGAGTTATGCTAGGGCATGAGGGAGCAAGAATGAAGTAACAGTGATATTAATCAAGTATTTACAAATAAAATAAAATAAAACGGCTTTAATAATACTTTTGCTATCTCCAAATCCAACCAGTACTTACTAACTCCCTACTATATGCAAGGCACTATGCTGGAGATAAAAAAACAAAATTAAAAAACAGGATTAATGTGAGAAAAGTGCGTTGTAAAGGGCCATATAAATAGGAGCTATTATTTAAAATATTGAAAAAGGTACATAATTGGGAAACAGGTCAAGAGTGCTTAAAACTAAAAATCAACCTCATTCTAGTATGTTTTTAAATCAAAGAATAAGAACACATACAGTGGTATTATTAACAAATGGAATGATCTTTGTGCTTGCTTTCTCCCATCTGAGAGAAGGGTTTCGATTATTGCTTTCTTTAAGTAAGCTGAGCTACAGGGTTGGATGAAACACTTCACTGTTGAAGATCCTGTTCTTTTAAAGATACTTCGATATTCACTAAAGATCTGTTTCTTAAGGCAACTAATCATCTTTACTGAAGAATTTCTGCAGTTTCATTGTGTCGTATTGGATATGCTTGCAAAGTTTTTTCCCCTTACTGAAAAGGAGAAAAAACAAAGCAAGGCTGGGATCTCCCTGCTGCGGTCAGAAGGCCAAGCGGCCGGCTTTTGTTCCCCTCCTGGCAGTTCACTGTCCTCTACATAACTGGTTCATTGCACTGGATTTCTTTTTATATAGAATGTATTACATAATCATTTTCCATATTAAACAAAAAAGAACATTAGTTCTCTAAAATAATGCAATAACCATTTTAGATAAAATTTCCTATATTTGAAGATGCTTTAGTTTAATTCTCTTTGAAGGAAAACATAATCTTAGTATATTTCATAGATGAAAAAGCTATTTTGAAACAGTTCAATTATTAAGAAATAAAGTGCATATAGCTTTCAATATAAATATTATTCAGCATCATACAGCTGAGTATTTGAATACACAAGATTAGCAAAATGCTATCAAAATGAAGCCTCAATATGACATCTGAAATCTGGAAAACAAGAGATAAGCATATAAATTCTATATAAATTATGAAGTTTTTTTTTAAACACACCTGAAAGAAAATATAAAGACAAGTGAAAATTAGAAAGAATTAAATAATTCCTCAGTTTTCCATGGCACCAGATACAACTACACAGCAATACCAACAGGCAGCACCTGAAATGCAGAGTCGCATTCTGATTGATGGCCTTGAACTTCTGCATTTGATTTACAAGTGTCTGGTGTCTGACTGGTTTCATCTTGCAAAGGAGCAGCTTTGTTATCAGCTATATTAGCAGCAGCAGCTGAGTCAGACAAGGAACATGAACGTGGGACCGAAGTAATTTGAAGGCTACCCTCTTCTATGCCATCCTCAAGACTGGTCCTCTCATCAGCATCTTCTAGCTGCCGAACTGAAGTTAAATACTGTTCAAGAAGACTATTATCCTGTTCATTATTAGAGCTATCTTTATTCCATTCACTGCGCTCTTCACTGGTATCCCCTGTATCTGCATCTTTGAAATATCTAACCGTTTCTAAGGAATTCCCCATTAAAGAACTCTCACTCCCTCCCACGGAACTCTTTTCAGAATCAAATGAATACTGCAGATGACCTTGTTCTGCGAGGGAGGAATGAAAGCCAGAGTCTGGGAATTCAGGTAAGACTTTCTCCTGGGGAGCTTCAGCATCTGAAGTAGACCAGTCAGAAGCACTGGCTAAAGAGGGCTCCCGACAGGAGATACATAATGGAGAAGACTGGGAGGACAGTAGAGTACTGGATACAGGAGCGCTGGACTGCCAGGCAGAACTGAGGTGCTGGTTCACTGTCTGCTGCCAATCTTGTAGTGACCTTACCTGCAAAACACAGAATGAAGTCTCATTATGGAATAAGAGGCTCATGATTATGCAGTGCACTTTAAAAGACAAACAAACTACCATCAGTAGGGCATGCACTGAAGTTATTTTCCCAGTGGTTATAAAGGAACAGTGTCTATATCCAGTTAGCCCAGTTACTAATGAAATCCAAGTGGTGAACTCAGTGCAGCTGAGGGCCTTGTCTGCCATGTTTCATGACCGCAGAATATACTCCTACTTTCTGCCACAGTAGGAGCACCTTGGTCCCGAAGGGAATTAGGTGACAGAACAGGGATGAACCAAGAGGAAAAATATTTCAAATAAACAGTGGGTTACTAGTATTATCTTTCTATGTGAAAGATAGACACTGGTATATGCCTTTTATAAGTGAGAGATAAAGCTATTAAATATGACAGATTAAATCCAGTGAATGAAAGCAGAAAATAACTATACAATATATACAACTATAACCATGATTTGGACATGGAGGGAGGCAGAAGGGTTTCCTAAATGTTAATCAATGATAAAGTAAATGTATTCTCTGAAAATATCTCAGTAACTCCCAGTTTATGGCTACTAGACTCAAATCATATGAAGATTCTAAAAAGCCTACAGGTCAAATTCCCGCTACAAATACCATCACAAAAAGATTCCAAGCCTTGGATGATCAACCAGAGATCATCAAGCAGTATTTGACACAGTAAAATTTCAGGACAGAAAATAATTCAGATAGTCTCCTGTAAATAAGCATCAACCTGTATTCACTTGATATGACAAAGCAACTTATGCTATACTTCTCGAGACATACAATCACATAGCCATACACTTTCTAAAAAACTTAACTCATAGTCAAATGTATATTAAAGTGTCCCACAAAGTAGCTAGATACTCTATTAAAAAAAACAAACCTTAAATTTGGTTGTTGCTATTTCTTGGAAAGAATATGAGTTTTCCTTATAAATATATTCTACCTATCAGTCCCTCAATCAACAAACATTTATCAAGTGCCTATTATGTCCCAAGCAATTACTACCCTAACCAATGTCATTTTAACATTCATTCATCCAATAGGGAAAAATATCTACTATATACAAGACACCATACTAGGCACTAGAGGAGGTACAAAATTCAGATAAAGTACTTCATAAAACTTACGGTCTAGTAGAGTGAGAAGACACAAAGATGGATAATGACATTACACAAGATTACATGGTAAGTGAATTGAAAAGATATAAAACAAAGTACCATGTGAAGTACGAAAGGGCAGAGTCATTACAGACAAGGGGGAGGGAGAGGCAGTGGTTGTGATGGTGGCTCAAGAGGGTTCAATGGAGAAGTCTGTATTAACTTCATCAAATTTAAAATGTCGAACTTAAAAGGACAGATGGCAATTAGTGTGAGCAAAAGCCAAAACCAGAAAAGGGTTCAGAGGGTAGAAAGTAAACTTTCTTTGCCCAGAGCACAGAACAGGAGGAATTGGAGCAATACGAGATAATGACAGAAAGGTTCGATGGTACCAGACTCAAGGAGCGTCTTGAGTGCAAAGCAAAAAGTCTGAAGATGTGGGCCTGAAGTCTGAAATAAAAGTCATTAATAACTTGTAATCAAACCTTGCCCCTGTAATGCTGTTGTGCCTAATGGTATGTTTTCATAGAAACTCTATTAGCCATTTCCCTTCTCCTTTGAATTTTATCTTCATTTTCTCAAATTACTCAGAAAACAAAAATTTTTTTCATTTAAAATATAACTAAAATGTCACCCACTCAATCTGCTACTCCCACATAGGAAACTAAATGGCAATTAATGCACTTGCTATCCTTAATCTTTGCAAAGGGTAGCTAAGGTGTCAGGGTGTGCAGACTTACTCCTTCTTCTCCCAGAAATGTATCTTTTGTTTACACAAAGAGTTAAATCAATGGAAGGGAGTTTACCTGGTTCCAAAGGAATTTGACAGCCTCTTCTTGCAGAAGCTTTTGAACATGCTCTTCATCTCTTTCTTTTTTCAATCTACAATTTAAAATGTTCAGATTACCGAGAGAAGATAGAACTATGAACTTCTGGTTAGTGCACATAGTTTCAAGAGATTAATTTTCTAATAGCCTCGTAATGATCTTTCTACTTCTGTATCTCATTTTAAATGAAAACCTTAAATGGAAGTAAAATAGCCATGTGAACGCCTAGTAAATATAAATTAATATCACAACCAACAAATAAAGATCTTACTCACTTCTACATAGCACTCACTGTGTAGAACAGTAACACAATCACAGTAACAACCAGAATGTCATGCATAAAACAAAGTACTAAATAATTTTAACTATGCTTGTGAGATACTGATTGTAAAGTAGTAATTCAGTGTTATTCTGTCTCAACTAATGGATGCTGAAGAACTGTAGATAGATAGGTATAGATAGTTTTAAATTTAACCTCTTTAATATTAATGAAAAGTAGACTGTCATTCACACTGGGAAAGAGTCAAGTGGGTTGTTTTGTGGGAACTGACTGATGCATCCAAACAAAATGAATCCCTAACAGTTTTTTTTAAAGAGAATAAAGTTAATAAAAGGTCACTTAATAGGTTTCTCAGTTCAGCATTAATAAAAACAAATAGGTATATGTTAGAAACTTTAACATACCCAATAATTTTAATCTGACCTTTTATATTTATTTTGGTACATTTCATCCACGACCCCAGGTGAGTGTAATATACTTGATGAATTCTTTAACTACAAAGGAGTTGATGCATTTACATTTTAAGTTAAGCAGCCTTAATAAATATCATGATTATTTGACACAGATCTATGAAATTTTAACTGTTTTGTCTGATAAAGTAAATGGATTGTGTGAGCTATGAAACTTAAAAAGGGGCTCTACAAACTTTAAGAGTCTATTAAAATGTGACATTATTATTGTTAGTATTATTACAGAAGCCAATCCAAATTATATTTATTTTCTGGAAAATTATAGCATCTTCTGGCCTCCTGCTGTTTCTGAACTTACTATCTGTAAGCCTCATGCTATCTACTGATTTTATTTATGTCTCTCCATCCAGGGTCTAAAAAAACACAAGCTCCTTGAGTATAAGAACAATTTCATTTCAGTCACTCTGTCCACAGCACCTCACCAAGTGCCTAGCACACAGTAGGCACTTTATAAATATCTGGTGAATGACTGACTCTGACCCCTTTAAAACAGTGTTTTCTTGACTTTACGGTTCTTTTGCATGTCCAGAAATAAATATGCTTTAATTTTCAAGGATATGTAATTTTACTCCTGTGAAATATCACTCTCCTGCCACAGATCACAAACCTTACCACTATGCCTTAGTAATAGGCCTTCATGAGTTGCTCTCGCTGAGAAATTTATCACCCTGTAGCCAAACTTGTAATGAGCTTGTTCAGACCTATCCAGGCTAGCTTTGGTCAACAGACACACAGCGTGGGGCTGGCCCACATTCAAAGCCTTTCCAGCATGGTAGGGCCTGACAAAACATACATTCCAGTGATATGGCCCTCAAGGGCCCAGGTTACCTCCATACCACAAAGAGGCATCAGAGGAAGACCTAAGTATAGGTTTCCAAAAAGAAAATCCTATTGTGCACAGTAAGTTTAACCTGTATCCCAGACACAGAATGATACCTCAATCTTCCAAAACAAAGTAAGTCCTCTATTCACAAATCAGGTGCCACCAGACATAGAACTTCTGACCCACCTCCTTATTTCATCTGTTAAGCAAACAATGTGCTCTTGCATCCTCCTCAGTCGTATTTCATAGCGCACTTCTTTGGCTCGAGGGTGGTAGTTCCTGATGTAAAATCCCCTCCAGCAGGCCTGGAGCTTGGTAGCTGCATCATTCATTTTTCGAAGTATGGTGGAATCTTTGTCCAAAGCAACAGATCGCTCAGGGAGAAGCCTGCAGGGAACTTTTTCTGAAACGATCTGAGATAATGCACCTTCATTAACAAGCTGTGCACTAGAAAGCCTGAATCCACCTGTCCCAGGAAAGGCTGTGGGGGAGTAACTAACACCATCTCTGGAGACATCACCTGCTGTGGCCAGCTCAGGGCAGAGCAATATTCCATCTCTGTCACTAGTCTCTGGGTTTCCCTCACCATTTGCTGGTTTAACAGAACTCTCTTTCAAAATCCACAAAGTCTTTTCTACTTCCTTATCCATATCCTGTTTTTTCATTTCTTTCAGCGACTCAATCACAGAACCATCATCTTCCAGATCCAAGTTTATACCATGTAATCTCAGTTCAATAGTAGGAGACACTGGGGATAATCCTGAGGCAACAGGCATAAAAGTAGACTCTGAAGAAAGAAGACTGCAGTTCAGCTTGTCTTCATCTGTCTGTATGTCTTCTAAATGTAGGTCATTTCGAGAAAACCTTGCAGTCTGTACTGAGGCTGCCAGGTTACTCTTAACAGCATATAAGTGATCCTCATGGGCACTTGTCCCAACCCAAGAATTTACTTGAATGACAGGTTCTAGAAGGAACAAAGATAGTTTCATTTGAATTACTAAGAATTTGAATGGTCCATTTTTACCTACAAATTCTGCATTAATATCAAGTATCTTAAAAAAATAAGCAAGCAAATAACAGTGATTCCCACAATATTCCCCAAATCCCAAACCATGATGTTTTCTAAAAATTCAGTGACTTCACAGTTGTTAATAAGTCATAAGACTCTCTTATTCTAAAATAATGCTATAAAAAAATTTTAAATAATTTAAACCAAGAGAAGAAACAGTTCTCAAAAGAATTGCAAAAAATAATCAACCACAAGTATGATCATTTCAAATCACCAATAAGTGAAATAAAAATCAAAAGAACTCTGAGATTTCACCTTATACCCAGAAAAATTAACAAAAATAACAAAACCAAAAATAGCCAGCATTGCAAAGATTGTGGAAAGTTGGCCACATCACGTACTCTTAAAGTTGTGAGAAGTATGTAACAAATATGCCTCTCAAGAAAAACAGATTCCGACATTGGCCATTGTCCAAAAAACATAGGTTTCATTCTGCAGTCTGAGTCCATTATTTCTTTATCAAGAAGTGAGTAGTATGCTTCAACACTGGTCCTCTGGAATCATGGTGAATCACTGCATTAATCAGGAGCCTTAAGGCTTTCAGATTTGTTTGTTCAGTGTTGTTAATTGTGTAAATTGTTCTACTTGTTCTGCTCACTTCACTCCACATTAGTTCACACAAATTTTCCAAGGATTCACTGAGACAGTCCCTTTAATCATTTCTTATGGCACAACAGTATATTACATTCAAATGCCATCATTAGTTCAGTTATTCTCCAACTGATGAGTATCCCCTTAGTTTCATTTTTTTGCAACTAAAAAAAAAAGAACTGCTAAAAATATTTTTGTACACATGGGTCCTTCCCTTTCTTTGATCTCTTTAAGGTATAAGCCTAATAATGGTATCGCTGGGTTAAAGGCTATGCAGTTTAGTAACTTTTGGAACATAGGTTCAAATTGCTTTCCAGAACGGCTAGACTAATTCATAGCTCTATCAACAATGCATTAATGTGCCTGCTCTCCTACAGCCCCTGCAGGAAAAATTGGTTAGTTTTGTTCAATTGGTATTTTTTCCCCTCACTTTCTTATACTTTGTTACAATGGACAGCTTGCTGGGCAAAGGGAATGAGAAGGATGGTTTTAGAAATCAAGGTGACATAAAAACAAAAACTATGAACAAAAAATTTTAGAAGAATTTAGAAATAGAAAAAGTTGACCTATAGTCTAAAACCAAAGCCCTAATAAAAACCAAAACATATGCATATGTACTATGTGTATGCATGCACACATAATACATGCATATTGCCATGGACATCCTTCAAGAAGCACATGGGAATCTTACCACTTTCCAGGACTATTTGGCCCCCTGGAGCTGGATCTGAGTGCTCAGGTGCAATGGCTACCTCTGTTTCACTAGCAGTTGAAGATGAAGATTCTTCATTTTGGTTTTGGCACATCAACTGCCTCTGGTGAAGCCTAAAAACCAATAACATATCGAATTTAATTTACAGTTTACATCATGTGGCAGCTCACTGTTTCAGATCAGGTAACTTCCCCACCCCACTACCTCCCAAATTTCAAATTTGGAGAACTAAAAAAGAAGGGATAGAAATAATTCTTCAGATGGCACTTAGATACACAATACCTTTTAAAGCTTTACCCAACAACAACCTGATCTCTACATATGACATGACTAAATGTTTTCTGTTGTCTTCATAAGCAAGTATTTAAATACACATTTGGAAGCATTAATTGGGTAAACAATACTATAAATGTATATTGATATATACATGCATACACACTGTACCTATGCATCTATATGTGTGTATGTAGCTCCCTTTCACTCTCTGCCCACCTGGACCTCTCCCCCATCAGCAATGAAAGGCAATGGAGCCCTAAGTTTTATGGTCAGAACCATACTCTGGTGTCTCCACTACTGTAACCCCAACAGTAACAAGGAGTTTTGAGTACTCTGTAACGGAAGGAACAGCACTTGTAGGTATCAGTCAACAGGCATTTATTAAATACCTATTATGTGTCAGACACTGTGGTAGGAATACTTTGACTGAATGTTGGAATTAGAACTACTAACACCATACAGCGGAGCTGAGAATGCTTTTCCTTTGGAATCCATCAACTGCTACACATTTGACACGCTCACCTCTGCTTGCTCAGTATCTTCTCCAGTTTGGCATCCTCTGCAGTTTGAAGGCCCAGAGTAGAAGTAAGAGGACAAACAGTTGCCAGATACTGGACCAGCTGGATGTGTTGACCAGGTCGATATGACCTTCCCTTGCCTTGACTGTAAAGCCATTCAGCCTTCAAACTGAAAAAGAGAATGAATGAAGTATAGTCTAGGATGGCATGGCCCAGCATAAAGCATTTGGTGATTGATGACATTCTCTTCAAGCCTCATCCTCATCTTATGACCTCAAGACATGCCTGCACCAACACAGCAGTACTACAGAATGATCAGATATCCAGACCACGAATGAAGCCTGAGGACAACTCTGGCTCTTGGACTCTTTTGCTCATATACTTAATGTTTAACTTCTGATAAAAAGTCTTAGTGATCTTTTCTTCATTCATAAAATTCATAGAGTCTTAACTGACCTATCTGGTTCGCTCTCCTTACTAAATTACATTTGAAACCATATTTCTAATGCTAAACAGCATTAACATTGATTGCAAATTTGGGAGTATTTTTGTAGCAATAGAGCTCTATCACTTTGACACAAAAATCTATTCTCATTCTGAAAATTATCACAAAGATGCAAGAGCCCTCTTGAGCCTTTTAAAATGCACAAGTTATGTCCATATCACCACCAGTACACATACCACCAGCCCTCTAGAGGCTCTGTCACAGACTATTGGGGGAAAGATAATTTTCTTAACTTCTTGAGACTCCTAATATACACAGCTGCAAACATAAAGGTCTCTGGGACATAAAATACAGTCAATTTAGTTCACTGTGATTTGTCTTCATGCCAAAATGGTAAAAAAGGTGCTTGGTTGTGTGGCTGAATTATACTAAACTGAAGTGACTATCTAAATTCTGGTCTAGTTAACTGTCAAGATTAACATGAAAAAGTTTTCTCTGTTTTTATAAAATAGTGTAACTATAGGATCTAAGTGAATTATTTATGGACTTAGAAGATCAGCATCATAATGAGGAAAATCTCATCTCACCTTACATTGTGTTTTATAATTATAGGGAAGACTGGTTTACCTTCAGGAAACTGCAAGCTTCTTTAATAGGCCTAAATTTTTCCCAGATACCAAGGCCCATCTTTTTAGGACAGAAAGGAAACACAGTACTGTACATTAGAATGAGCACTGACATACCTTATGTGGCTTCCAAGCAAGTCATTTAACCTCCTTGAGCCCTGGTTTCTTCATGTGTAAAATAAAGGGATTAGACTAGATACCTTCTCATGTCCCCTCCAGCTCTAAATTGAAAATCCTATGATATTCTAATGGGGCTGTAAATCATAGAATATTATCATCCTCAAAGAATTAAAAACCTCTATCACTAAGAGAACAATGGAGGAGTACAAGATGGGTGTGATCAGGCTGCAATGCATAAGAAATACAAAGCTAAAAAGAGAAACCTCAGTAAAGGATTCTGTCAAGGCAATGTATGCTCCAACAGGAAGATGGGCTGACCATCAGGCAACTGCAAGGGGAAAGATGATGGCATGCACATGTGCTCCAATGGCATCCTGGCAATGTGAGCAGAAAGTGAATGAGATGCTCAGCAGCACACGGGGCAGGTCACCTGGGAGGACATCATGGGAGGACACAGACAAGCAATACACAAGATGGCCAAGCTCAGCTGGGCTGTGATGTGCATCACTGAATGAATGAGTGAATGAATGAATAAGCATTTACTAAAAGCTTATCCCATGCCTGTCACCACTGTTCTAAGTGCTAAATACTAATACAAAAGGCAGATGGACCCTACCCTCAATGAGCTTACATTTTGATAGAGGCAGACAAGAGGTACAGGGGAATGGTGGCTAGGGATGGGTGTTCTGGTTTGGGAAGTCACAGGGATGGTAAGTGGAACCAAAGGAGTAAAGGAATTGATAAGATTCCAGGTCCACGTAAGTATGTGAAGTATTTACCAATGTTCATGTCTTCTCGTGCTACTGCAAGCTCCCCCAGTGCAGGGACCATGTCATAGACAAACATCTTATGGCCTTAGAACCTGCACAGCAGTGCTATCTACATACAGATTGTCTGACATATATCTAATTTGTTAAGAGAGACAACTCACAACAAAGAATATGCCTTTTCTACTCCTTTTAAAAAAATATCACTGTACAGGGGCAGCTAGGTGGTGAAGTGGATAGAGCACTGACCCTGAAGTCAGGAGGACCTGAGTTCAAATCCGGATTTAGACACATAACACTCACTAGCTGTGTGACTCTGGGCAAGTCACTTAACCCCAATTGCCTCACCAAAAAAAAAAAAAAAAAAAAAATCACTGTTCTTTACAGTTTTGCTCCCAATATATTTCAAATTCAGGAACATAAGGTCTACTTAGGGGACAATTGCTATTGAAGTATGGAACACAGGTCTCTAATAGAAAGAGTTCCAAATAATAGTCAGGTTCTGGTGAACTGAATAGATATCACTTACTCTTGTTTATGCCTAAAGCCTCAGTCAAGAATCAAAATCAGCTACTTCACTATTCAAAGTATCTCAGGTATAATCATGTAGCCAATTCTCTGACCACCTGAATCTATTAAAGAAATATAATGAACACTAAAGAAATTTTTTGTAATGGTGGAGAGTTGTAGGCATCAATCAATAAGCATTTATTAAACACCTATTATGTGCCAGACATTGTGCTAGAAACACTTTCACTATACACTGGAATTAGAACTACTAATACCATATGGGTGGTGAGCATTTTTACAAGAACCTGTACGTTCTTGGCAATAACAATTAAATTGAGTGCATACAAAATCAAAAACTCATTCTCAGGCTCCTGAGATCTAAGGCTAAAATGTAGACCAAGAAAATAGCTTGAAGATTTTATTCACTTTATTACTTCTTTTACTCCTAGATTCAAAATTATAAATAGATGGTTTACTTTAAAAAAAGAAAAAAAAGAAAAAACCCTCCACTGATGGTCTGTCTAGCTATATAAACAGATTAAAACAACACTGCAATCATTGCAAAGTTTTGTACAAAATGTTTAAAGAGAATCCAAACTCAAAAGAAAATTATTTGGAAGTGAAGACATTTAGACGTTGTACAATTGTGTCCTATTTTCCTTAAAGCCCCCTTTATCTTCATCTGGTTTAGATGCTCTCCAAAATCCCTACCCATAAACTCTCAGGTAACATGGACATAAGAATGTTAACATCCTGAGTAGAGGTAAAAAGGGGCATTCCAAAAATGGACTCTATCACCCATGCACACTGAAGATAACAAGACTGAATCAATAATCAAACTCTCTCAAACACAAACTAAACAATTACTAGAGCACCATCTACTGCTAAAAAAAGGAAAAATCTGCCCTTTTAATTGAGGTAATCCAGGACTTAAATGAGTCACTTACCTATTGACACCTATACTCTGGCTAAGCAATGCTAAATTCATTCTACTCCCTGCCTTCTACCAGTGTTGTCAGGAATATTTCAGAGAGAGGGAAGAACAAGAAGAGGAATGAATGCTTGTGGGAAGAGGAAGAGAAAGGGAAAAGAAGGAGGAGAGAAAACCCCCCTCCAACCATAGCTGCTCATACTACTAACCAGCATTGGTCAAAATAGCCAATAATAAGGGAAAGTGGAGGGAAAGGGGCAGAGGGTGTGGAGGAGGGAGGGAAAGAGAAAAAAAGATGCCTCAGTGACTCTCTTTTCTTTCTCTTTCCCTCCCTCCTCCACACCCTCTGCCCCTTTCCCTCCACTTTCCCTTATTATTGGCTATTTTGACCAATGCTGGTTAGTAGTATGAGCAGCTATGGTTGGAGGGGGGAGGGAAAGAGAAAGAAAAGAGAGTCACTGAGGCATCTTTTTTTCTCTTTTTAAACCGAGAGAGAACAGAAGGAAGGCTGGAAAGAAGGTCAGACATGCAGGACAGCTTTGATAGCTTTAAGATGATTGTAGAACATACTTAAGAAGGAAAGCAAGCTATACCAGGAGACATATGCAGTTTCATGTATAATTATCTTTCTCTGTTCCACCACACAGATGCAAATGCCTGTTCTATTTGGTGTTCATTAACTTCAAAATAAAAATATAAATGAATCTTTAAATTGTTTTAAAGTAGAGGAAAAGACAAGTCATTGTTTCTTCTTTCTTTGCCCTTTTTTGGAGTGGGGAGAGGAAGGGTAGTTAAAAGGAGGAGAAAAAGCTAAAAAAAAGAGAGCAAGAAGGTAACTCTACTTGACCTCTACTCACTAACCCCCATTCAGCTTTTCATTCCAGAATACTATTTCCCTTCACCAATTCCTCACCCCCTAATCCTTTGGGACCCCTCTCCCTAATGTACTCCTGGTTTTGTTGGAGCCTTTGAACTAGGCTTGGTGCTAGGGACATCCCTATTGCCAGCACAAGGTTTCTGGTGGATAGAGGGAGGGGAAGCCCTCAGTTTCCACTGTCAAGGTTACAAGCTGGAACACTAAATGCACTGTCCCATAGAAACACATTTATATATGATGGTTAGGCTCAATAGTACTGTACTTCAATTACAATACAGGTTACAAAGGCTTCTGTGGAGTGCCCTGGGGAGCTAACCACCAGCTGGGGTTTTCAGGAATGAAGGAAGGGATGAAGGAAACATGCATGTTTTAAGCATCTACTGTTTGCCAGGCACTGTGCTAAATGCTTTACAAATATTTTATCATTTGATCCCCCAACAACCCAATGAGGTAGATGTTATTATCTCCATGTTGTAATTAAGGAAACTGAGACACTGAGATTAAGCAATAAAAAGCTAACATTTATATCATCCTTACTTTGCGCCAGGTACTGTGCTAAGAGCTTTACAATTATTATCTCATTAACCCTGGGAGATAAATACTATTATTATCCCCATTTTACAGTTGAGGAAATTAAGGCACATAAAGGTTAAGTGACTTGCCCACAGTCACACAGCTAATGAGTGTTTGAGGGAGGATTTGAACTGAAGTCTTTCTGCTGCAGTTAAGATGGATAACAATAACTACAGATTAAGTCACAAATGCTGTGCTCTACTTACATCAGATATAAATATCACACTAAATATTCCCAGATTTTCTATGTTTTCTCTTTGAACTACACCACAATGCTAATTTTTTTAATATCAAATACACATCAAATACACCAACGTCACCTTGATGCTCCCACTCCCACTTGTAATGAAGTTAAGCCAACTAGCCCAGCTCAGCCCCCAATCCAACTCCTCCTCCCTACCAGCTCAGTCCAGCCTCTAATTCTCATTACCAAAGTAATCTTTGCCTGAGACCACCTGGGCAATTCTGGCATCCCATTGGGAATGCCAGGCTGCTAAGCTTTATTTCTATAGCATTGCCCTCAGGTAAGGCCTTGTTTTTGTGGAATCAGTCAATGAAATTATGCAAGGTATACCTGTGGAGTCAGAAATCTGCAAATCCAGAGAGAAACTGTCTTCTAAATCTAGTATTCTTTTTATATACTATAAGGAATATTTACATGCTTCTGCCTCATAAAATGGGAAAATGTTGAACTATGCAGAACAAAAAAATCCTGAAATGAGATTTGATGTTCAAGTTAACAAAATGATTTAAAAAAAAAAAAAGGATGCCAATTCTAAAACAGTTAAGTAAAAAACATAAGGACTTCGGGGGTTCTATTTTCTTTTTCTTCCTTTCTTTTTTTTTTTTTTTTAATTTCATCTCCCCATCTCACTCAGGCTAGAATTTGCTAGGGGTACACATGGACCTGACTCTGTTTTCAACCTGAATGGGTTTGCCCCTCCATAGGTAACTAGGTGCCCCCTGCTCCCAGAGGCTCACCATATGGATGCCAAACTGTGAATCTCCAATTTGCATAGCCTACTGTAGCTCAAAACTCCTGAGCTCCAAAGATCCACAAGCTTCAGCCTCCCTGGTAGCTGGGATTACAGGCATGTGCCTATTTTCTTTAAACACATTCCACAACTGAATGTGAAAATAAAGTTCCATATCCTATAACTAATTAAAGAAACCTGCTCCCTAAAAGTAGTTGAGATAGAAAAAGGATTAAAATCATTCCAGTTTTCAAGGTCTCTGTCCAATTCAACTTTCATTATAGGCTATAGTCATCACAATTCCGCAGAGACATCATTTTACTGTCAGAGAAAAAGCCCTAGGGATATTTTTTTCTGTGGTTCCAAAAAATATCGATTTAGTAGACAGCTTTCACTATTCTCTAATTTTTTCGCTTGACCATAAACGCCTACCTTTAATGCCTCACTCCAAAAAAATCTATATTTAACCAAGAACAGATTAAAAACTAGATTCATCTACACATCCTCACAAAATACTCTGCTCATTCATATTCAGAGTACATTGTGCTGAGAAACAAAAAAGGGACACAAATGAATTCTGATTTCTTGAAGAACTAGAAAATATAAGAAAAAATAACTACATTCCGTGCCTAGAATTTAAAACTGTATCAAAAGCCTGTATATGTTAAATCTATCAAATCTTTTATAATAATAAGACCCTCCATAGTGCAGAATTTTCGATAACATGTTCAAGACACAAACCAGTGTGACTTAGTTATCAAAAGTACAGGAAAAACACCATTAAGAGAGAAACATAAATAGTTAATACTTAAGTGACTTTTCAGTGACTTTCTTTTCACAGTGTATATTTTAAGAATTATATAATTTATCTATTTCTTGTTAGCTAGAAAAAAGCCTTTTTATTGATTTCTGTGATATGTGATGCTAAAGAGGTTATATTCACCTTTCCTTTTGAGAAATCACATATCCATCTAGGACTTTGAGGTTTAAGCACCAGCTGACAATGTACGGCCGATAGTCAAAGCCTGGAATGGAAGGTGTGGCCATCACACAGGGATTGTTCATGATTGACAACTGTTCCAACTCAGAAAGGGATGCCAAGAAAGAAATCTGGAACAAAGGAGATCTTTGTTGAAACCAAAGAACTACTTAGTGACAAGCACTGCATTTCTGATGATTCACATCTTAACAAGACTGGAGAAGGTGACAATTTCTCTATTGTTCTGAAAATGGGCCACCCTCTGCTCTATCTACTACTTTTTTAAAAAATCAGCAACAATATGGCCATCTGTCCCTGCTGTACTTGGACTTGGATTATCCCTTAGAAAAGTATCATTTATCAGCTTCCCTGGAACAAAGAAACCAGAGTATTTGTAAAACCATCCATGGTAACTGAGGGAAAGTTATATGCATGGTGTCAAACTTCTTTTACCCAGATGGTTGCAGATGGATTATTATAGGCTTAACATATTAAAGTGAATGAAGTCTAGTCCTACACTGATATATTGGATAAAGGGGGGATGGGAGGGAAGAGAAAAGAATGAAATCACATATAGGAAGTAAAAATGACTTTAAAATTCCTCCAAGGTGCTGAAAATATGAAACTAACTTATGATCCCTTGCCACCCTCTCTACTGTATCTTTTTTGGCTCTCTCGTTCATATAAATGGTAATCAAATGTGTACCTCATTTAGGTCTCGTATTTCATTCTCTGCCAGTGAAAGGATAGCAAGACTTCGAGGTAGACAAGCTGGAGCCATTCTAAGAGAGGTGATGATATTTCCATGTAGCAGGAGAGTCTTTAAAGCAAGACCAAACAATAGATACCAATTAAAGCAGTGCAAAAGAAAATCTACTTTGGTAGTGTTGCAATATTGTGCAAATTTGATACTGAGATAGATTTAGTTATGCTGTACAAAGCACAGAGTTATAAAATGTTAGATCTAGAAAGAACCTTAGATAGCTAGGCCAATCCAATCATTTTACAGAAGAGAAAACTCAGGCCCAGGAGTTGCCCAGTGTCATGCAACTGGTTTGTGACATGCTATAAGATTTATAATTACATCTCAGTGATTTCCAAACATACTCAAACCTTTATTTCAAATCAAAACAGAAAAACAAATGCATTAGAGAAATCATGGGTAAAGTAAAATTTCTCTTTAAATATGTTACGTGGAAGGGGCAGCTAGATGTCAGAGTAGATAGAGCTCCGGCCTTGGACTCAGGAGGACTTGAGTTCAAATCTGACCTCAGACACTTGAGATTTAGTAGCTATGTGACTCTGGGCAAGTCACTTAACCCCAACTGCCTCACCAAAAAAAAAAAAAATATGTGCTTGTGTGTGTGTGTGTGTGTGTGTGTGTGTGTGTGTGTATGCATGTATGTAAAACTTAGTAAATTTAGTCATTTTTTTTAATCAAAGTGCTTGATTGATAGAATTCATGAAAGAAGCAGAAAGTAATTCCTAAAGTTGAGACAATGGGAATTATTTGATCTCAAGTCAACAGAAATGAGAAAAAAAAAAAAGGCTGAATTTCTGGAGTTCTGACAATATCTCAACCAAACTTTTTTTTAAAAGTCATTTGAATTATCTTTAGATTACTTATTAAACTCTCTTTTCATCTATTATCTTAAAAATCTGACTGCCTCAAATCTTTTATGATAATTACTAATAAAGATGATTTCTACTAAGAAAGGTAGAATAATTGAGCTAATGTTATTGATTTCAAGGTTGAATGACTTCAGCTTCTAACGATTCAAATGAGGCACAAAGATGAAAAAACTGCCTTAGAGATAGTCTCTAGAAAACCGTGATTTCCAACTGTTATTTGATTTCCCATTACCTTCTACTCCATGAAAGCCCATAGGGCATGTGTTTATCTTTAAAAAGTAAAGAAAACTAAAATTAATCTTGTTTTTTAAATTCTGAGTTTTTAAATGAATTTCACAACATTAAGATAATTACAGATATGTAGGAAAGTCATAAAACTAGATTTGGGAATTGTTGCTCTAGAAATTCAGCCAAATCAAGGGTTTCAAATTATGTTCTAAAGGTCAATAATCTTTATTGGGTAAGAAGGAAAAGCCGTTACAAGAGATGAAGATTAACCTTAGTTAAAAATGGTCAATTTTTTATCCTGTTAAGATCAGGTCTAAGAACTAGGAGCACATTGTATACAGTAACGGCAATACTGTACAATGATCAGCTATGAATGACTTAGCTATTCTCAGCAACCCAATGATCCAAGACAACTCTAAAGGATTCATGAGGAAAAATGCTATTAACATCCAGAGAAAGAACTGATGGAGTCTAAATGCAGATCAAAGCATACTATTTTAACTTTATTTCTGTGTGTGTTTTTTTTCTTTTGGTCTGTTTTTTCTTTTACAATATGACTAATATGAAAATATATTTTACATGATTGTACATATATAACATAATCAAATTGTTTACTGTCTTATGGAACAGGAAGGTGAGAGGGAGGGAGAAAATTGAGAACTCAAAATTTTTTTAAATGAATGTTAAAATTTATCTTTACATGTAATTGGAAGAAATAAAATACTATTTTTTAGAATGTTGCATTTAGGAAAAAAAAGATCAGGCCTAGACATTAGTTTCAGACACAATTTCAATATTCAGGGGATGAAGAAAGACAAAAAAGGAAACATAGAAAGGGGAGGAAAGAAGCAATTTTTCAAGGAATTGTGGGAATCCTAATTTTAACATAGTGTATTCTCCTCACATAGAAGCATAATTTTATACTGATTAGATTATTAATTCTCAACACAGAATCTTCAAATTTCAAAGGAGCACACTTACCTTCAGAGCTATCAGTTTAGAAATATCACCTATTTGAGATATGTTATTGTCTGATAAATCAAGGTGCTGTAGAGCTGTGCAGTTACTGATCTGGTCTATGGCCTAAGATGAGAAAAATATTAATTATATTAATTTATGCATGAGCCCCATAAAACAAAACATTCTTTAGTTCACTTCTACTAGACGTCTTCACTCCTAACTCCTTCCATAATTACTGGAAGCAGGGTAGATAGAACCTGGCAAAAGAAGGGACTCTGGGGAAGAGTCAAAGGGATCTGGGAGACCATCATGCCAATGCACTGGCTACGGAGTTGGCCTTGGAGGCAGGAAGCCCTGGGTTCAAGTACCACTCCTGACATATTCTGTTGTAGTGACCCTGGGCAAATCTCTTAACTTCTTGGCACTCCAGACGACTCTGGAATACTATGAGCAGCAGTATGTGGAAATACTAACTTTATTTGGTATTTGTTAAGTTTGGAATACATTTTAAAAAAATATATTAAGTCTATAATTTACAAAGAAGGCACTGATCCATGTGGATAGAGGAAATTTCCCATCATGAGCTGAAACCACAAGTCCAGTTAAAAGAGAGAGAGACAGTGAGAGACCGAGCAATGGACTCCCATACCGTGGCATGTTTAACAAGATTTTCAGAAAATTTTAGAGCTAAAAGTCTTATGGCATGGAAATATGTTTTGCATGACTGCACATGAATAACCTATATCAAATTGCTTGCTTTCTTGATGAAGGGGAAGGGAGAAGGGAAGGAGAGAATCTGGAACTCAAAAATTTCAAATAACAAATGTTAAAAATTGCTTTTACATGTAATCAGGGGAAAAATAAAATATTAAATTAAAAAAGAGGAAAAAAAAGCTAGGAGTTTTGGGCCAACCCCCTCACTTTGCAGATGAGAAAACTAAGTGCTAGAGGAATGAAATGATTCAGCCTAGTTGGCTGGCAGCAGAAGCAGCACTAGAACTTGGGTCCCTGGCCTCTCTCTCCAGGGCGTGCCCCATACTATGTTGTGTAAGTCTCAAGTCACCTCTATTTGAAACTAATTTATCTGATAAATCCTTGGGAAGTTTAATTTTAATGGTGACAAATCATTCCTCTGAGATGTTTAGTTTTACTGTATACAACTCCTTCCTCTGACAGGTTTGATTTTAATGTGTCACTTTATGTATTTTCATTGTGTTTTTTTAAGTACCTAAGTATTTGAGTACCTAGGATATGACATGCATAATAAAGAAAAGGTAGCTTGTTTACTTCCATTCAAATGACATCTAAAATAATTTTTTCAAAGGTTCCTACTTTTCTAGTCACTACTTTTAAAAAAATGTTTACCTTCAGATTATTTCCCGCCAAATTCAGCCATTCCAATTGTACTAGCTCCTTCAGCCCCTCCACATAGCCAATACTATTATGAGGCAGGTTAAGCACCCTGAGCTGAGTCAGTTTGGCCACACCCATCATCCGAACCAGTCGATTATTGGCAACTGACAACTGTGTAATGACCAGGAAAAACAAATTATTCTCAACAATGATATATACAATTTTCAGGCTAACTTTAAAACAAAAAGTAAAAAAAAAGCTCCCTTCCACAGTTATGCACAATTCAAATCTTACAATTGTTTAGTTCTTCTTGTTTATGTTTTAAAGACCTTTTCACTGTTTGCTAAACATTATACAGTACATATTGTGTTTTTTCATTTCCAAGCAAAACAAAATAAAAAATGGAGAATGTTAACAAGATGCAGAACAAAATGGAACAATTTGTTACATAGGCCAAGAAAATTTTCATCATAAAAGAGCAAGCTTTTAACCATTTACTGAGAATAGGGGAACCTTGGGAATACAGTATAATATCAATATGTTATCATATAATTATTTCATTATATTAATATTTTAATTCATTTAATATTTTATTATATCAATGTAATATATTACCAATATAATTATTTTCACTTTAATAGAAATTTTAGTTACGTTAATAATTTTTTCCAGACAAGTATAAAGTTGGCATGGATGTTTTCATCATAAAAACAAGCTGGTCTTGCCTTTTTTAATGTCTGTAGTTTTCCAGGGCAATAAGTTCCTAATCAACCATTTTCCCAAGTATCACATAATACTGACCTGTATTAGTCTTCGGCACTTCTCAAGATTTTCCAATTTAATAATCTGATTTTTATCAAGAATCAAAGTATGTGTATCAGCATCACAGGACAAATTTGGACCCAATTTCTGTAATCCTTGGCCTGACCAATCAACCACTGCACCTTGAAAAATGAGGGAAAACTGTCAGAAAATAAAGAGAACAGGATAATTTCACACAGAGAGATTACTTTTTGAATTAGACTGACAGCAAAGGTAATATTGGACATTTGAGATGAAATGGCATCGAGATAAATGTGAAGTTTTAGATTTAGGCTCAGGTGAAAAGACATGAGTTTTAGAAGACTAAGAATGTAGCTAGAGACAGAAGTGTGATGAGTCACGGCTCAATACAATCTTCAGCTGTATTATTAGAAGTATAGCATCCAGAACAAGGGAAGAAATCCCTCCAACGTAAACTGGATTAGTCAAACCACATTCAAAATATCGTGTGCAGCTCTGCAAACCATGTTTAAAATAAACACTGATAAACTAAGGGAGTCAAATACATGTCATATAGGAGCAGCTGAAGGAACCAGAGATATTTAGCCTGGAAAGGGGAAAGCTGAGGAGAAAAATAATCTTCAAACATCTGAAGGGCTGTCAAGTAGAAGAGTAATTAGACTTATTCAGCTTAGATCAAGAATTAGGATCAAAAGGATATAATTAATGGTAGGCAAGTTTCAGCTTAACGAATTAAAGAATCATGGGGAGACCAGCTGCTCTCCCTAGATATGGCCTTAGACTCCAGATCCAAAAAGGATCACCCTTCCCAACAATTAATAGTACTTTCAAACCACAGAATGGCCATTAGAGCCATTCATCAGTAGATAAATGATCAAAGGATATGAAAAGGCAGTTGTCAAATGGAAGAAATTCAACAACCATATGAAAAAAAGCTCCAAAGCACTAATAATTAGACAGATGCATATTAAAACAACTCTGAAGTTCCACCTCAGATTCATCAGATTGGCAAAGATGACAGAAAAGGAAAATGACAATTGTTGGAGGAGCTAAGGGAAAACAGGCCCACTAATACACTGTGGAGCTATGAAAAACAGTCCAGCCCTCCTCGAAAGCAATTTGTAACTATACCTAAGAAGTCACTAAACTATGTATATTCATTGACCTTGTGATCCTACTCTGGGCAAAGAGATCATCTGAAGAAATTGAAAAAGAAGAAAAAGGACCCATAGGTAAAAAAAAATTTATAGCAATTATTTTTGTCAAAAATAAAGTGGGGGGCAAGGTACTGGAATCTATAGGAAGAATGGCCCCAAAAAATTATGGTATGTAAATGTAACAAAATATTATTGGGTTGTAAGAAATGATAAAAGGAAAAAGTTCAAATGAACCTGGGGTGACCTAAATGATCTGATACTGAGTTAACTGAGCACAATTTATATCATAATGACAACACTGGAAAGAAGTATAACTTTGAAAGACTTAAAAACTTTGATAAAAAGGCATGATCCCGGAGGACCAAAGATTAAGCCTGATTTCCACCTCTTGGCAGAGAGGTGGATGAACTCAAGGCACAGAATGGAATGTGCATTTTCAGACATGGTCAACATGGGGATATTGTGCTCCACTGTATCTATTTATTATAAGGGTGGTTTTCCCTCTTCTTCTTTTTTTTTTTTGGTGAGGCAGTCAGGGTTAAGTGACTTGCCCAGAGTCACAGAGCTAGTGAGTGTTCTGTGTCTGAGGCCGGATTTGATCTCAGATCCTCCTGACTCTAGAGCTGGTGCTCTAGCCACTGTGCCACCTAGCTGTCCCTCCCCTCATCTTTTCAATGGGGAGAGACAGAGTAGGAGGGAGAAGGAAGCTATAGATAAGGTTGTTAAAAAAAGAAAAAAGACAGAAAGAAAAAGAAAAGTAGGTCACTGATTTTTTTTTAAATGAACACAAGGTGAAAAGAAAACACAAATAGGATAGATTTGAAAGCTACAGGTTGAATTTACCATATGTTTAAAAGGAAAAACAAGCTATATATAATGAGGGATTTTCAGCCTAATGTATATTCCTCTTCTTCTGTGATACTTTGTATGTGGAAATGCTCATTTTATATGCTTAAGTTCAGAATTTAAAAAAGAAATAAAAGAAATAAATAGCCTTATAAGATAGTCAGTACATCCTTACTTGCAGCAGCTAGGTGGCACTGTGGATAGAGCACTGGGCCTGGAGTCAGGAAGACTCATCCTTCAGAGTTCAAATCTGGCCTCAGATGTTACTAGCTGTGTGACCCTGGGCAAGTCACTTAACTCTGTTTGCTCCAGTTTTGTCATCTGTAAAATGAGCTGGAGAAGGAAATGGCAAACCACTCCAGTATCTCTGCCAAGAAAACCTCAAATGAAGTCATGAAAAATCGGACCCAACTGAATAGCACTACCTTACTGGAGAATCCACTCCTCAAGTGGAAGCTAGGTGTTACAGAAGGGATTCAAGCTACAGGGAAGGAATGTGCAAATTACCTCTATGATGCCTGGCAATTCAGATTCTAAGAATTACAGTAATCTTATAAAGAACAATGTTTTCTTTCAATTACTCAGTATTCCTTAGGAATTAGCACACACACAGTACTATCAGACATGGATATTTTTTGGAGGCCAAACTTCTAAAATTTAGTATTTTAGCACCCTACCCCACCTAACTTTGAAACATGGTTTCCATATTTTGTGGTTTTGAAATAGCAACTTTTTAAAAATCACCAGGGTTAAATGGAGGCAAAAGGGAAGTATTACTCAATTAAATAAATACATATTAGGTACATGTTATGCAGAGTTCACTGCACTACAAATCTATACTTCATACAACTTAAATCTACTTAGCTAATTTCCATGGAGAAATCTGAAGATTGATGTTTTTCTGGGAAAATTTTAAAAAATTGCTAGTAAACACTAATGTAACTAACCCCTTAGCATTTCTCCTAACCAATTCCCTCAACAGCTGCACAATTTCCCAGGCCTATCTGAAGCCTAATCATTTGAGAACTTTAACCTTTTGGTCCCTAAAATGGCTGTATCAGTTGCCATACAATCTATTTGATAAAAGAGAACTTGTGAGCTAAGCCACCTTTAAAATGCCCTAATAAATGTATTAGGAATTGCTCTGAGCAGCCATGGAACTGAGAGGTAAGAGAATAATCAGTGCTAGGCACACCGTAGATACCTAATAAATATTTAATGATTTATTATAGAGCCAAAGATAATTAGAAGTCAAAAGAAGCTTAGAGATCATTTAGTCCAGCAAGCTCATCCTTTTACGTTTTTTGTCATTGTCTTTGATTTTTTCACTAGTCATTGCCCAATATACCATCTCCCCCACCAATGGAAATCTCCCATGTGACAAAGAATGACAAACAGTTAAAAAATAAACAGTGACCACATCTGATGACATGTGCAAAATGCTGAAGATGTAGGCTTCTACTCTCTTCTAAAAGAAGGGAGTTCCAGCCCTCTCATTTTATGGATGAGAACACTGAGGCCCAGGGGAAGTAAGAAAAACATTTGCTCAAAACTGGAAAGTGAAGATAAAGTACCTCTAAGATGCTGCAGACAATCTCATAACTGTTTAAAGCTTCAGTTTCCTCATCCACAACATGAACCAAATTTGCCTCCCTGCAGTATGACTTTTATTTCCTCTTACTTGCTGCCTAAACTTTGGGCATTGTCAGAAGTAGTGCTAGTAAATGTTAAACAACTGGCTCTCTGAAAAAGAAAATGTACCCCAACAAACTTTTCATTTAACCTGAATAATTAACATTTTTTCTGTGTCCTTATAGATAATCAATAAAACTATAAACCAAGACCTGATTTATACCTAAATTCTCACATTGAAAATTTAACAACCGGCTTGAAAACCAGTTCCTGCTAGCTCTAGCATACCCCTGGCATTTGTAGCTATGGATTTTACTACTCATTCTTTTCTTGGATTTTTGTCTACTGTGAACTTCTGAGCATCTTAACTGCTTTTGATTTTCCTTCATTGTAGCTTCTCTCCAATATGGACATATTACTTCCCCAATCGTTTTTAATTTTTAAAGCCCTTCAAATTAGATTTGCAAGACACCTGATAAATTGTTACCAGCCTTTGTCGGATACATTCTATCCCTGGCCAATAGTCAGTCATCTCTTTATTTTAAGCCATGATCCAAAAGTCCAAATCCCATTCTCAGATACCAATCTCTTACCTGTTAACTTTCCAAATCAATTTTTCTTTTCAGTATACATTGCTTTTGATGGGGAATAATGAGGTAAATGTGCCTGTGTTTAGCACATGGTTTTGTAACCTTAAACAATATTTTCTAGGTTCCCTTTTTATAGTGTTATTTGTAGCCAAATAGCACCATCACCACAGAATCACCACAAGTGCACAGCCCTCATCCACTCAGACAAGATTTGGAAGGTTCTCTGTTATGTTCTGGATACTTTTCTCAGGAAAACAACAAACTTCTCCATTGTTATTATCAGGTTGACAAATAGCTAACTGAGAACTCCTGATCTCTTACCACCACTATTTTTCTCTCCTTCCTCTGACTTTTTACTAGATGATATCTTCACCAGAACACTTCTGTGGCTCTACTTTATCCTGCCCTGGAGGACAAAGAGCCACTTTTCCCTCAGAGCATACCTTCCTCTTCTTCAAAAAGAGCCTTAAATCTGTTGATTTTAACTCCAAGTACAAAGTTTTCCCTTTTCCTTCCCTTCCTCCTCTGTGTAACATTCTTCCATTCTCCAACCTCCTAACAATATTCAAGTTTAAAGGAAGGCGCTTCTATTACTCCTCTTGCAATATTTAAAGTAAGGACAGTGGGAGTTAGAGGCATGTGAACATATTTTCTGCCAACTCTAGGGATATGCATGAAATGATGGAATGAAATAGCTTCAACTAGGTTTTCTTCTACAGTCTGCAAGGCTGTTTTTCTAGGCATAAGCAATTGATATATGTTGGAAAAGGCTAAAACCACAGTTTCGAATTCACACAAAACTACAGCATTATAGAGTTCTATCTTTAAGTCTGTCACAGCATGTATTCCAAAGTCTGCTATAAATATATTCTAAATGAGGCAACAAGTCCCCTAAAGGGTGTATTGACGTCAGGTTTGGGGGGGTGGGGGGGGGAGGAGAGAAAATGAAGATTCACCCTCTCCACAAGGGTGTTGGTAAACAAACACAGTATGCTTGTCAAAATCACAAATAAATTAGACAATTATGAGAAGACTCATTATGCCACAGCCAAAAAAGACACGTGAGGTTTATAGCCTACTCTAACACTGGGATCTGTGAGGAAATGGAAAAAACTGGGAGGGGGGAGCACCTGGGGGAGACCAAGCTGTTGGGACTCAAAGGAGGTTTTTGTTGTTTCTAGAGACAGCAGGAGGAGGGGAAGAAAAAGATCTTCAAAGAGAAATTTTGCTTATCATACCTACTGGCCACGAGGTGAATTCTCTGGTCATGGCCACTTCTCAGATTATGATAAATGGGGGGGGGGGGGCGGGGCGGGGGCGGGGAAGAAGAAATGTATGGTATTCTCTCATCACTAGAGCCTCCATGATAATGTGGAATAAGCGCTGGGTCTGGAGTCCAATGGCTCAAAAACCCTCTATGGAAAACCTCTGATACTGGTGCCTGTACCCTCTGCCCTGATCCAAGCACGAGGAGCTGGGTATACAGTCTCAACCTATGCAGTCCCAGTCAAAACAAAGGTGACTGGCCCCAAAACCTGCTTGGGCAAAGGTGGGGGTGCTCAGGTTAAGAAGGACCCCATCGCGCCACTGGGCAGCCAAGGCCAAGCCCCAGCCCCCTGCACCTGAGTAAGGATCCGGTGAGTGATGCTCCCTCCCACCCCAGCCCGCCCAGCCCCCACTTCAGCCCCCTCCTACGGGAAGATGATGAACAAGAGATTCGGGGCAGGGTGAAGGGGGGTTGAGGGTGCGGGGAGGATGCTCCCGTATATCTGGCTCTTCCCTCTGCCCAGCCCAAGTCCCAGGCAAGGAGGACTCTTCCCCAACCCCAAACAAACCAAACAAGCAGCAGCACCAGCGCGCGGGGCTGGACGAAGCCCCCTGGGAGCTGTAGTTCGGCCCCAACGGCCCTCGCCTTGTCACCGAAGCGGTTACAGAGCGCGGGAAGACTACGACTCCCAGAGGGCAGCACGCCCCGCCGCCCCAGCCGCCAAGCCTAACTGCAGCTAGAGAAGAGACGACCCGAAATGCAGGGATAAAATGGGGAGCCCCCCGGGACCCTTCTGTGGAGAGGCGATTACTGGAAGCGGGATTGGCGAAAGGGTCTCTAAACTAAAGAACAAGGTACTTTTACCTTCTCCTGGTGGTAAAGCCGCGTCGCTCCGCGCCGCTGTCGCCATACTTCCCGCTTTGCTAATACCAGGCAACCGACTTGCCGAAGCGCTGTGGGGTATGTAGTCTAATTGGGCTAGCGCAAAACTACTATTCCCAAGATGCACGGCGCCCATCCCTCAACACTCCACTGCCAACCCCCTCCCGGGCTGTGGGAAGGGAGAACCTATTGCGTTCTGATTGGTAGAGAGGGTTTAATGAATTAAAGTAATATGGGACTCCAATTTTACAGCTGTAAATGACTTAGAAATAGAGAAAGCATGTGTGTAGTGTAGATGATTTGCAAATTGTTTCCTATACCTGTTACTTCCTCCATCCCCTAATCAACTACCTATCCCATATAAAAACTAATGTGTTTAGGTATAGAATTGAAATTTAACAAGTGCAAGAAAATCCTGTCGCAAAGTCCAATCCACCTCCTTGGTGGAGACTGATTATTCAGTGCAGAGTTGGTGACAACTTGAGGGAGAAAGGAGTCATGATCTAGCTTAGACAGGGAAGACCTGAGGTTCCAAACTTTCTTCAGGTCACTGAAAGGAGACAACGTTTCTGGAATGAAGCTTCTATGTACAGGAGCCATCACCTCAATCAAGTCCTTATTCCCAGCTTATTACATTAGAGACTTTGGGAAATTTCCCCACGGGTGAGATCTGGACTCTCTTGGTTGAGCTCTCCCAGTGGGAGTTCCTCCACCCTCCACCCTCCACCCTCCACCCTCCACTCTGTATTGCCTGGTATATATTCTTATCCATTTGCTTTCGCTGATTTCTGTTTGCTGTCAGCTTAGAAAAGTGGATTTATATGCTATTTTTCACGTGTGTTCATTGTGGAAAAGGCATTTATTGGGAAGGGAGTCAAGCATTAGAGTTGGGGAGAGAGCTTAAAGCACTCCTTCATTAAGGGGTGGCAATCAGGAGCTCAGCTTGAACCCTAAACATTATTTCCTCCGACTAAAAATAACTAGGAGGGAAGTGGATAGATATAATTCTGGACCAGTAGGCTTTCTCTGAGAATAAAGTGGCCAGCCTCTGGCCCCAACCTCCTGCTTCTGCTATTAACAGGGCAGGAACCAATGTCTAAGGTGAAGAAAGGTAGATGGAGGGAGACCTTAGAGATATCTATTATGCCTCCCTTTGATCTACATCTAGACCAATCTATGTAGATGCATAGAACCTACATGGGCAGCATACCCACCTTATGTGTGAGAGCCCATCCACAGGAATATAGCTAGAACTCCTGCTCACTTATTTTTGCAAGAAATTGTGTGTTGCAGTGTTGTGTCCTCTAGGTATTTAATAACATGTTGAATTGGAAAAAAAAAAAAAAGAAATTGTGTGTTGGTTTTGTTTTTGTTTTTCTTGCCACAAACTCCCCTTACGTTTACTTTGGTGAAGCCATAATTTCATCAGTATGGGAAGTCCACTGATATATATTTCAGTCCCTTCACAACTTCTCATTCTATGCAATTCCTGTCCACTTTCATTCTATAACTACTCCATAAAGGCCAAGAATTTCCTTTCATTTCTTTTTTTCTTCCTTTATTTTTCTTCCTTCCTTCTTAAATGGAGATCTAACATTAGGCCTAAGTAATTCTACTTTATTAAGCATTGTAAGACTGCTGTAATTTGCTATGAAAGTAAAAAATGAAATGGTGCTTATCTGTGAAGTGTTCCCTATGCCCAGTATAGACTAGACTTACGGACTTGGAGTCAGGAAAATCTGAGTTTGAATCCTGCTTCAGTCACCTACTAACTTCATGACCCTGGGTTATGTCATTTAATTTCTCTCAACTTCAGTTTCCTCATCTGTAAAATAAGGATGCTGTATCACAGGTTTATGATGAAGATCAAATAAGATAATACATGTAAAAGCATTTTACAAGCTTTAAGAGGGGCAGCTAAGTGGCACTGTGGATAGAGCACTGGGCCTAGAGTCAGGAAGACCTGAGTTCAAATTTAGCCTCAGACACTTATGAGCTATGTGACCCTGGGCAAGATCTATTTGCCTCAGTTTCATCATCTGCAAAATGAGGGTAATAATATCCCCTACCTCCCAGGGTCCTTGTGCAGATCAAACAAGATAATATCTGTAGAGTGCTTAGCAGAGTGCCTGGTCCAAATTAGATGCTGTATAAATATTAGCAATTACTATTATATAAAGGACTAATGTTATTATTATCCTTTCAAATAGATATGTGTTCATTGACTGTTTTATATATCATCTATATGTTGCTTTAATTGACTGAAGTGTATATCCTATTTTAATCGTCTGAGTCATATATCACCTATGTCTTGTTAAAGCAGAAGTTTCTTTATGATCAGGATGTTTTTCCTCTCAGGTATGTCTGATGTTTCTTAAAGAAGAGACTGTTTTTATTCCTATGCATTTTGTTATCCTGTTAATAAAATACTTCAATCAAAATAGTGTCTCCTTTAATTTTGTAGGTCTTTCTTTCTATAGAAAAAGAAATTCTGCAAAAAAAAAAATCAAGTTGAGTTTGTACTAGGAGATAGCAACACTGGCAACACCTGTTGTCTCTCATTCTCACTACCTGACCAGCTCACACCACATTTTGTATTCCATACATATTGTACATAAAGTCCTAACAAAAGAAGGAATCCCCATTTAATAGCAAGGTCCTCCAAATGTTGTTATTCTCAAATGACATCACTCTGACTCCAGAATACCACAAAGTATCTAATGTGAAATCCGCAACACTGAGGAAAAGATGATCTAACCATCTACAAGAAAAAAAAACAAAATGGATGAAGAATGTTTATTGTTCAGACTGTAACATGCCAGTTGGGCAATGCTTGTGAATGCTTGGAATGGTTTGGGATTATTAAAAGTTACGTATTTTATTTCACATATGATCTAGCCCACTCCTCCACTTACTTAATTCTGGGTGTATAGGTCATTGTTAATGTGCAGGGCCTGTGGAATATATGTGTACAGATGGAATAGCTCAGTTGGCTGTCCATCAAATTTCATATTATAATTTAAGAAATGAGTCTTATTCATTCATTTGGGTTTTTTTCCTATGTGGATTGTTAGGTGCGTCTCTTTTGAAAGTCTGTTCAATCATTGTAATGTGTTAGACCTTTGGTTATCCCAGAAAGGGAGAGAAAGAACTGAACATCATCCAAAATGAAGATCACATGGTTTTAATAGCTGTCTGTAATTCTCTAGACATACTTAGGAGACATCTCCTTGAAGGTAGCAAGTAATAGTCATGGCAGTAGAGACCAAATCATAGGTGTGTGAAGTAAGTGCAATGATTAGTCATTTAAATGAAAGGGAGAAAGAATATGAGTTAGTTGGTCCTGAGGAAGGGTATGTAAGAGTGAAAGTGAGGTAGTGAACAGGAGTTGTAGAGACCCCACAAGTCTGAAGTATGGGAAGGGAAAAAACTTTGAGGTACATAAGGAAAGTGAATATGACTTGGCCAGCTGATGTACCTAACCTCTGTACTGAGCCCTTAAAGACTTTTTGTATGTTCTAGGTCTTTGTTTCCTTCCCTGAAGTCATACCCATGTGGGGGAACAATAAAAAAAAAAAAAACTAAATGAGGTTCTGTATATTTGGATGGCATATTTCTGAGGCCCCCTTTAATCACTACACTGGAATAAGAAAACCAGGGGACACAAATGAACTGACACTTGCATTATCAGGGACCACAGCTTGACTGCCAGTAAATGTATCCATGACTCAAAACCATCCACATTCAGCTGGGAAACTTCACTATCCATGGGAAATTGTTCTTCTATTTGGACTTTGAGCAGAGCAACATCCACCACAGCAGGAAAACCTTTTCCATGAATATGTTTCCTTGTCTGGTACTTGTTATTGATAAGTTGAAGATTATTGAACAAAATGATTTCTGTGAGCATGTATCATTCATTTATTTAACCTTAACTTATGAATAGGTGACTCCTTGTTTGAAATGAGGCTTAGGGTTGTATTTTTCTCTATCAAGTAAAATGCATTTTTCTGTAATCAATAAACAATAAACTCAGAAACAGTTCTGATTTTGTCTTTGTATCCCTAGTACATAACAGTGGCTGACACATGGTAGGCACTTAATAAGTGCTTGTTGACAAGTAAATGGATTCTCTCCTCGATCATGTGACTGTAAAGATGTGATCTGCTATACGCTATCATTCATAAAAGCATGCCCTCCACTTAGGCAGTATGACATGGTGGGGAAAGAGCTGTCCTCAGAGTCAGGAAGACTTGACTTCAAGTCCTGCTTCTAACAAACAGTAGCTGTATGGCCTGGACAGGGGGGAGGGGGCAGTTGTCTCTTAATCTGAAAATACTCTGTACAGCTTGTGAGACTACAATTTGTTCAGAGCAATTTCTCATCTGCATTGATAAAGGGAGTCCCCTTTTTGAGAGTTCCCTATACCAAAGAACTCAGCTAGGTGGCGCAGTGGATAGAGCTCTGAGCCTGGAGTCAGGAATCTGGCCTCAGACACTTACTGGCTGTGTGACCCTGGGCAAGTCACTTAATCCTGTTTGCCTCAGTTAATGAGCTAGAGAAGAAAATGGCAAACCACTCCAGCATCTTTGCCAAGAAAACCCCAAATGAGGTCATGAAGAGTCAAATATGACTGGAAAATGACCCAACAACAAAAAACCAAAACAAAACCCCCCCCCCAAAAAAACCCACCACATATCCAGACCAGAAAGACCTTTGATATATTCATAGACCTTTCTTTTAAAGATCTGATAGAAATGGAAAAGTAGGCACATGGGTCATTAGTTGCTAATGCAGCCTCATTTCCCTTTTCTTTAAAGTGATAATACCATCTATGATCCTTTCCATTCTTTTGTGTTCTTCCTATCTTTGAAATCTGCTAAAAAATCAGTCCTTAATTTATATGAACTAATGCAAAGTCGAGTAACCAAAGCCCAAAGAAATATGAGAAGACACCATTTCCATTCCTCTTTATAAAGGGGGGGGCCAAATTTCCACAGATGTGGAACATTGCATATATAAGATTTTTAAATGTATTAATTGGTTTACTGATTTATTTT